AACCACTTTCACTGCCATACGCACCAAACGGTTCAGCTGAGATCTAAGAGTAACTATCAAATTACAGAACCAGGCTGCTATACCTGGAGAGCATTAAATCTGGGCCTCCACGTCGTGCATTATCCCTTACATACAGTAGTTTGATGTTGCAAGCGCATCTGAGAAATAGCGGAGAACACAGAATTAGCTGCTGTGAGGAAAACACATAAACCAAATTGTCCTAAACATGAAACATGCTTTATATTAAGAGCTTCAAATTAATTTTGTAAGATATTATTAACACGTTTAAGGCAGCTTGCCCAGATGCTCTAACAGATATTTGTACTGTTTAATGTGTTTGAGACATGTTTTCCTCAGTGCATAACTTTCTCTCCATCTGTACATGTTAGAAAGTCATGCAAATATTTCCATTTTCCTGTCAGGAGTGGACAAGTCTTAGCTTACGGACTTCAGTGAATGAGCGCTGCCACATGCATGGGCACCAAACAGACAGAGCGCAATAAAATACAAGAGCAATAAATCTCACTAAAATATACATTTTGCTAAAATACTTGTTATAGGACATTATATGTGCCATATGCAGCATTTTAAACCTACAAGTAAGTGCATTTTTATAATAGCAGCAACTGTAAAGGAACCACTGTGGGGTAAATCAAACATAGCCTGATATTATTACTATGCTCAGATGTGTAAAGTGTATTCCTCTTATCAGTTCAAATTTAGTCTTTTTGTTTCTATTTTCATTTTTATTTTAATGATTTTAAGCATTTTTTTTTTGTTTTTATATTTTAATATTGCTATGTTAGAATGTAATGTGATTTTAACCCTTTTTTTTGGACGTTATATATATATATATATATATATATATATATATATATACATACGCACATGCATCCAGTGGGACATTTTAATGTATATTTAATAATTTTCTAATTTAGTATTTTTAATATATATTATTTTATATTTATTTTATTATTACAGTTGATATATAATTATTAATACCTTTTATAAA